TTTTCTAGACAAATGATATTTCGATATTATTGCTGCAGCAGATACAAATACCAACATTATTATATTCCCAAACGTTTGAACCTTTAAATTAACTAGGAAAGTCAATCCTCAACTTGACTTTTACTGTTTTAAACAGATATAATGATATTAACTTAATTTATTATTATTATTATTATTTTTTTTTTTTACATACTCCTTCTTAGTGTGGTGACTTGGGGTCCATAAATATAACAATACAAGCTGATAAACCAAAAAGAACAACTGGGGTAGGTAGGTAGCCCTGGTGGGTGCGTAAACTTTACGGTCTGCTCCCTCCAAGATCAGCCTGCTTCTCCATTTTACCGTGAAGCCTAATTTCTAGTTTTTATAAAATATACAATGCAAGTGCAGGTTTACTAATCTTAATCTACTTAACAACTCAATAGCCCAAGTCACCATACCCGTAGTATATTCCATGGTAATAGAAGAGCTTTAAAGTTTTTCAAATTGTTGCTATAATTGATTTGAATAAAAATTTGTTGTTTTCTTGAAAAAAATTTGTTGTTTTCTTGTTATTTAGCATCTAATGGGATAGTATATTTGAGTGTAATGATCCTTATCTTGCCTGGAGTCGATTCAGAGGAGTTCTCGGTGCAGCCTGTGACCGATGGATCCCTAAAAAGACCATTAAGTCTCAGTTCCAGCCCCCATGGTATGACTCTGAATGTGATCGTCTCCTACGAAATAAGGAGAAATGGAGAATAAGGCATAAGGGGAGCAACTCTGAGTCTCATAAACAAAAGTTTCGGGCATTTCGCACAAAATTTAAAAATTTGATGGACGAAAGAATGAGACTCAGTGTTGAGGATGACTCCGATGATGCTCTTATCTCCAAGAAATTCTGGACCTACGTTAAATCTAAATCAAAGTCAACCAGGATCCCTGAAACTGTCAAATATCATAATCGCTTTCGAAACAATCCATCTGATCAAGCTGCCCTTTTTAACGAATATTTTTATGAGCAGTTTTCTCAAGAGAGCGATTATGGCATTGACATAGATTTTCGTGATGATTGTTTTTCAAGTCTTGTGTTTAGTAGAGAAGATGTTCTGTTGATTCTTAAAAAGTTAAATCCTAACAAGGCCCCTGGCCCTGATGGGATTCATGGGAGAGTCCTCAAAAACTGTGCCCAAAGCCTTGCATACCCACTTAGTGTTTTATTTAACCTGTCTTTCTCGAGCGGATGCATACCCCTGATTGGAAGCTGGCACTTGTAGTACCAGTGCACAAAAAGGGCGATAAGTCTTCGGTTGAGAACTACAGGCCTATTTCGTTAACATCTCTTGTAATGAAAGTCTTTGAAAGGTGCATAAAGACTGCATTATACGCTGCATGTTCTGATCTGTTGGATGACCGACAACACGGTTTTGTTAATGAACGTTCATGCACAACCCAAATGATACCTTTCACAGACAATCTTGCACTTGCATTGAATAACAGGTCCAGGACTGATATAATATATTTTGATTTTGCGAAAGCTTTTGATAGCGTTTCGCATGACCTCATTTTAAGTAAATTAAAGAATATTTTTAATGTCGATGGACTAATGCTTAAATTTATTAAGTCCTATCTTGAGGGGCGACAACAACAAGTAGTGATAGGAGGCCAAACGTCTTCTTCTCTACCAGTTCGGTCTGGTGTCCCTCAAGGTTCTATACTTGGCCCTCTATTGTTTGTAATATTTATAAATGACATGTTCTCCTGTGTCTCTGAAGGCACCAATATCGCCCTTTATGCAGATTACACTAAAATTTGGAGGGAGATCCTTGGTTACCCTGACCATCACATAATCCAAAATGACATCAACAGACTTTATGATTGGTCAGCGAGAAATCGAATGAAGTTCCACCCACAAAAGTGCAAAGCCCTCTCTGTGTCCCTGCAAAGAAACGTGCTGGATAACTTGCCATTCAATACCTTCTTTTATAAACTTTCTGGAAGTGATATTGACTTTGTGCCCTCTCAGTCAGATTTAGGAGTCGCAATAAACTCCAGGTTTAATTGGGGTGCACAATGTAAAGCGCTTGTTTCCAAAGCTACCTCTAGAGTTGGACTACTTAAGAGAACATGTCATTTCACTACTGATAAAAGGCAGAAAAGATCGTTCTATTTAGCGTTAATTAGGTCTATATTTGAACATTGTTCTGTCATATGGTCCCCTCAATCTGCAACTCATCTTCTACATTTTGTTGCTATCCAAAAGAGGGCTATTAAATGGATCAATGGTGAACCTTACTCCAGTTATAATGACGATAAACTTGCTATAGAGCAAAAGAAACTAAATATTCTCCCTGTTAAACAGAAGTTTATTTATAACGATCTTATGACCTTCTATAAAATAGTGAATAGCATAATTCCAGTTTCGCTCCCTACATATATAGTCCTATGCCGTCCAGAGGGCACCCGATACACTAGGCACAATGCTCAAATAATTGATATGTCGGATACTTCAACTTACATGAGTACCACTGTGCCCTGCTCGGATGCCTTCCGAAATAGCTTTTTTCATAGATCTATGCTGAAATGGAATAATCTACCAGTATGTATCCGGCAGTCAGAGCGGATTTTTACTTTTAAGGCCAAACTGATCAAGTACCTCTGGGCTGCCGATACAGTCTGGCCAGATTAGCTCATCAGTCTTATGAGTCTCAGAAATTTGTTTTTTCTTTATCAGTTGTGACGGAATTGTAATGAACAAAATCCTTATAATTATTTATGATATGTTTGATTTCTTGTTAATGTTTGTCATTCAAATTTGGTAGACGGCCCCAACGTTAATGTGGCTCTTGCTATGTGTTGGTTCAGCCGAATTAATTATTATATAATCAAGTTTATTTTTCTCGTTAGTTGTCATCCGGCCAAACATTAAGCAACTTATATTGCAGTACCATTTATCATTTAGTATATCAAAATATGTCATTGTAATTTTGCATGGCTGAAATGTAACGCTTGATTTATATATATAATGATTAATTGAATTTTCAAATAATAAAAAAAAAGAATACTGTCATAATTTCAAAAGAATATCTTACGAATTGTTCCGTCTCTATGTTTCATGTCTGTAAACCTACTACTACATACTACTTTTATGTAAGTTTTTCTATTGCCTAATTTGAATCCTCACTGATGAGGGAATGGGGATCAACTAATCTATACTAATTCTTGTGTGTTTTGATCTGACTTCATCGATTTCATTGTGCGAAGCAGGTCACCCAATTTACTTATTTTGGTGCCAAAATTACATCAGATGGCAAGATTGATTATGTAATAAGTGTCAGGATTGACAAGCCAACTGAAGCTTTCAACTTACTCAATAACATTTGGAAGAACAAGAACATAAGCATTAACAACAAAGTACGAATCTACATCGTGGGGGGGGGGGGGGGGGTGGGGCGCGCCATTTGAGGGGGATGCCAAATTGTCGTTTGAATGTGGGACTATTTTGGCGCCAACAGGCAACTTTATGCCACTGTCTGTTATCCAACTATATACTAGGCCTAGGAAGAGCTTAAATCATTTATTGAGGATGCTGAGCAGAGATTGGATCTTAATGGACGGTTGATTGTATGAGACGATTAGCTGAAGATCAAAAGGGATGGTGAAATGTTACCCACTGAAGCTGAACAATACAAAAGAGATGACGCAGTGGACGCAGACTAATCCTTTTGGATAGATATCTCGTACTAGTGTAACCCGTGCTTACGGCCGGGACTTCACTGTCACATTTGAAATCCAAGTATGAACCCGCCTATTATATTCGAAAACACGCATTACATTTTCATAGTTAAAACGGTGCAAAAGCATAAGCCGCTCGGCCCAAATATACCGCAATTTAATTCTTAGCCCCTCACGTATCCAAGGCCGATTTTAAAAACCTTAATCATTTGGCTTCGTCAGAGTGTTGTCAAAACTATACCGAAAAAAACAGTCCCATAACTCTTACAGTTTTCTTGAATTAGTCGTTCGGAAATTTCCCACACACAGTATTGGTATAATAAATTAACCAATATTTAGCTTAGCACTTATAGTTAATATGTGTTCGATCTTTTACCGTTCTCAACAAATAAACTAAAATTTATCTATGAAAGTAGGCAGTTACTTCTGGGCCATTGAAATTGATTTTTCTAACACACACAACGTAGACTATATTTCAACTTTTCGCGCAGCTGTGGGAAAAGTTGATAATAATCCAGAGTGTGTAGCACAAGGGATTGTCAAGAAAATATCGCTGATGTACATGATAGCACTAGGGGTTATTTTAACATAACCTTAAGTGCTGAAAGTAGTTCCTTAATCCGAACATTGAATGAAGAAGGGCATTGAGTTAAGGCAGACAAGAGAAAAAGATGGAAGTCAATGTCATCTCCTGTACTAAAATCCATCAAAGTAGACGAATATACATTATACATGGCATGGCTTATATCAAACTGGGCAGTTGCTACGACAAAATTTACTGGACAAGTTTCCGGACAGTTTCTTGTTTCTTCAAAACAAGAAATGTAATAGTTTCTTGCGTGATCTGCAGAGCCCTTAGTTACGCCACTGATTCTAATAGAGAAAATACTTGATCTTTTTGCTGGCCCCTTCTCATTTAACACTCAATCATAGGTTCCTGATCATGTGGCTGAGTCAACCAAGGGCATTTTACACAGATGTGTAATGTTGCATAGATCCAACGGAATCCTTAACTCAATCCCTAGACTAGATGACACTGGACCTTCTGCTTGAGAGGCGATCATTCTAACCACTAGGCAACCTAGCCTTTCTTCACAATAACTGTGTATTAATTACTTGACAGAGATGTTTTAATTAAGCAGTTCAGAACTTAACTAAATTCATTACCTATCAGGAGAAGGGAAACACTAAAATGGTTTTTAAGTATTTGCACTATATTTAAATGATCAATTTTAAACTATTTTGTATTCTTGTAATTTGTACAATCTTAATATCTTTATTATCCAAGCTGTCATGAACACGTCAGAGAAAAGTCAAAAGCAGAGAGACATCTTGCTTCTTGTTAGTAAGATATCCAACTTATTGGATACTGGTTTGGACAACAGATCTCTTTACATATGTATCCGACTGATTGAAGCTGGTAAGTGGAACGTACACATATAAATAAATGAATGAATTCTAACATTTATTACAAGCTTCTTAACGCTTCGTAAAATGTTCGAAAATAAATGAATAGTGATAAACTTTCACCCCTGCAATCAACTTGTTCAGATTACTAGGATGGAACAATATTCTAACTTTATTCCCCACTGCTGCAGGTGTACACCCGGAGTGTTTGGCAGATATCATAAAGGATCTGAGGAATGAGAGTTCTAGCATGGGCTCCAAGACTGCAGCCAGCCGCCCCTTGTCTGTCAGATCTAAGTGATGGGTTATATGGTTACAATGTTCCTTACTTCAACAACCATGTGCTCGCCTGGTCATTGGTTTGGGACTGGTTCGGTATATAATACAGATTAATATTCGATCATGAAAGAGCTGAGAAATCTGCAATAAGATCATATTGTTCATCTAACATCAGCTGTCAGCAATTAAATTCCAGAACGTTTCAACTTTATTTGGTCATTGACATTAGAAGCTTTGATGAATTTCGAGAGGAATTGAATTATTTGACTTAATTAATATCTCTACTATAATTCAGAGAATTCCCTTTGTATCTTTGTACGACCGCAAATAGAAGAGAAATAGGTAGTTACATAATAACCATGGTAACGAGGGTTATTACACGCACGTGCACGTGCAATGATTGTTTTAACGTCATTTTGATCGGTTTTGTTGATATTACGCTGTGTTTAGTACGAGCAACATTTTAATTGGCTGTATCTTTGGTGGGGATGAATACTTTTTGACACGATTAAAACTGACTTCCAAAGAATACTATTACTATTAGGTTCCTCCCTTACCTGTGACCACGGGTTTTCTAGTTATTTATAAAATCACTTTTTTAACAATTTTGTATCTTAAGTTTGAACTTCTCATTTTGCAGTTAGAAGAAATAGGAAACTGAGAATTTGTTTGCATCACCAATACGATACATTATTTCAAGGGTGTAGTTACACACTTGCCAAATTGAGTTTTGAGTCACGTTTAATATAACTTGAGACCTATATTTTAGTATATCGGTAAGCAGGTGACCAGCTGCACTCAGTGGACCTGCACTCACTCACTCCTGCTGCAGGTCCGATATACCATAATATAATAAAGATAGATTAATTTATGTTCATTGCTCGGCCGACGAGATGAAATTGTATTGTGTACAGTTTATTTACGTGTAATAAATACTGAACTGTAATAATGACTATGATCCTGCAGTAGTATCTGTAATGGACCTCTGCTCCAGTATTAGCTGACATTTTAAAGATTGTCCTGCAGTCTTCATTCATTACAACAATTTGAACAATAGTTTGGAATTACCAGATTATATAGTTCCCTCCTCACAAAATTCCACCAAAATTAAATGCTGCAGTCTGTTCACTGTGTCTCCAAATTAAAGGCGGGACACTTTTACGTCTCAGTATTATGCTTCAAATTGAAAATTGAGAATTGTAAATAGAAAATTGAGAATATAACCTTTTGTTGTAACACATATTTTACGTAATTAATTGTGTGTAAGTTTTAACATTTTGATTATACCAGGTTACCCTGTTATGGTCATGGATCCACAAACTCAATTCGAGCAAATGAAGGAGGAGGCCTTCTACTCCATGGAGGGGCTGGGACGACTGAACCCCGAAAAACTTGACTTCTATGTTGACTATCTGAAGTTTCAAGTTGAGCATGGTTATTATGATGGCGATGCTAATTTGAACATTCTCAAGTTGTATCAGTTCTCACCAGATCTGATAACTAGATCCAGCATTGATAACGTCCACTATGTGCTAGTGAAGGCTCTGATGCAACTCCCAAGGAGCGACTACGTGTTCTGTCGCGCTCAACTCTCCCAGGAAATGATAGACGATAACCTGACGAAGAAGATAGATGATGTGGCCACACTCTTGGAGACCTGCCAGTTCCCAGAGTTCTGGAATGTGATACAAGAAGAGAAGATATTTACAGAGATGACAGGGTTCACGGAGTGTGCCAGGAAGTTCATATGTCACGTGGTTCAGCTCACATATAAAAACATTGAGGAGGATTTCCTAATGCAGTTGCTGGGGCCTAGCGTCGACAAGGATTTATTTTTGGAAATTGTAGCAGAGGAGAAATGGGACCATAATGGGGACAGTGTGTTTGTAGGCCACAAAGAGGAGATGGTCGAACAGAAAGAGATCATAGAGAAGATGCCCATTGAGGTTGTGACACCCATCCTGGCTATCAGATAGATTTTGTTTTTGGGTTGCTAAATTATTTGTTATTGAAATCTGACAATTTTATCCTATTTCATGCCTCCATGAAATTCGTGTTTCATTGCTTATTGAATTGTATTATGATCATTGTCCGTATTACTGCAATATTATTTGGTTAAATTCCCATCTAATGACTTTAAATATGATAATTTTCTTTATGTAACAGTTTGTTTAATTAGTAACCAGGACATTGCCTATATGATTATTCGAAACACCCAACAATTTAAGCTGTATAATGTTCATGTGCACGATTTACATGTTCTTCGCAGCTTGTCTGTAGTTGTTCATAGTTTCGTTATACAACTTTCTCAGCTCTTTTGTTATTATCTAATGAGAGCTACAAGACAGTTCCATTGTCTACAGTACAAAGCTGCCACACTATTTCATCTAACGTTCTTAGTAAACTAGGAACTAATGGCTGTATCGGTAATTCACATGAAGAACTGAATAACAGATCATGCATTATTTATAACTATTGTTTCGCAGTAATTTGTGTTTATACAAGGAAGTCACAATGTAGTCTACAGTGTAGTCACAAGAGGTAGTCACAATGTAGTCGCAGTGTAGCACAATGTAGCCACAGTGTAGTTTGCAGTGGAGTCACAATGTGTCACAATGTAGTCCACAATGTGTAGTCACAACTGTATCACAGTGTAGTCCACAATGTAGTCACAGTGTAGTCGCAGTGTAGTCTCAAGGTTTAACTGTGTGGTCACATGTAGTCTACATGGAGGTCACAAGGTAGTCACAATGTGAGTCACAAGGTATGGTTGGAGTGTAGTCCACAAGTAGTCACAATTTAGTCACAATGCAAGTAGAGTGTATATCACATTGTATACACAATGTAGTTTGCAAGTGTAGTAGTCAGTGAACCAAAATATAACGATGACAAATAGGATTGATTCTGTGAACTGTTTGGCTAGGAGACCACAACAAGGAAATGAACGCTTATGATATACATATAAATAAGGCTCAAAACATTTGTAAAATCGTTTCAAACAAATCCACTCGCCACTAAACAATGATCGCGTGATAACATCCTATATAAGGCACAGATTGGTATGAAAGAGTTGCCAATTAATTGCAATTTGTGTGTTGTCTAATCTGGTTCAAGGTAGGAGGTAATAGTCTTTATGGAATGTGTGTCAGTGTTGTTAACTGCCACAATATACAGGGTGGGCCAAAAGTCAGTACCCATACGTTGCCTTTATAGCGCATCATTGAGTGCCCAATTTATATACTGCTTTCTGATGACTTAGTACCACCCTGGTTTCGAGAATTTGTCAACATCGAAAAAGTCCGTGTGCATTTTTTTCAAGTAGAGGGTTCATTTTCACATTTATTTTGATAGTGTTTGACAGTCGGATCGAGCTATAATTGTTATTTGAAGTGTGTTTGGTCATTCGAATTACTTTGTCCAGAAAGAATTAGAACTGTAGCTTCTCAATGACCGGGATATGAACAAAACGTGTTGAATAATTAACGTGGTGATCAGGTGATTGGTTTACCTAATCACGTGATAGAGGTGAACCCGTTAACTACCCCGTTAAACATTAGGGGAACTGGGTTTAAGGGTGCCCAATGAAAGGTGTCGTGTCACGGGTCACATAATCACCCAGTCATGTTGTTAACGAGATACAGAAAGTCGCTTTGTTAACTTCGGCATTTCTAATCCGTTTGTGGCCTCATGTTTTTCAGATCATAGGCAACATTTGATTAAGTCCTAACAACCGTCTCTGAAAAATTTAGTCGTCAGCATGTGCAAGAAAACAATAAAGTGTTTGTAATATTGAATGGGCGTGGTCTTAATTATTCGAATTTTCAAAATTTTGACGACCGAATCCTCGAACCATAAGTACAGAATGCCCATCCTGCAAAGCAACCACCTCGCAAATATAAAACACGCGGCGAGAGCTTATAAGGCCAACTTATGGTACTGACTTTTGGCCCAGCCCTGTCCTTCCTAGTCATGTTCTCTATTTGGCCTCTATTTTTTACAGAAGATATCACAATGTTTTGGCCACATCCGGTCTCACAATCTGTCTAATCAAAATAGAAATATTTTAACTATTATTCTGTTTTTAAATGTATGTAACACACTGCGGTGCTAAACTATCCAACCATTTACCGGCAGGTATCCCATCAGTGTACCACTAGAATATCATGTTCCACCACTCCTCACTACCCCACATACGAGTAACAGAACCACTGTTTAATTCGCCCAATGCCCATAGACTTATTACTTATACATCTTATGTCGCAAATTCTCCTCTCAGGTATCCCATCATTTCTCCTGAAACGGGTAACGAGCAGATCCTATCTTGCCATGGAATCCAAGGAATTCTGGGCGCATACCACCAGTGAAATATACAGTGGTTCAGGTGGACGGTCCTACAAACGCCACCCTATAATTGAATGTACCACCATGGCTTCGGAGGGTGAGTTATTTATATGAAACCTTGACAGTTTTTAAAGAGGTTTAATAAAAAATCTTCTCAAAATTAAACTTTTAATTCAAAAAATGTGCTTAATACGGCATGACTAAACATAGTAATACGGTATCATTCCTCTCAGGCACCTGCATCAACACAAGCGAAAGACTATTTATCTTCTACTATTAACGGACGGTATCCTACCTATAGGGCAACAAACCATTCACATGATCATTGGTGAGTCCCTTTAACCAACAAGGGGCTTTTCATACCGGCATAGTAATATTTGTTTGACATAATATTCACAATTCAGTTTGTCCCGCTAAAACAGCATTGTTGGGACTAACGTATTCCATATCAGTATGGAAACTAATATCCAGAAATACGAAACCTTTAAAAAAAGGAATTCTCAGTTTCACCTATTATCGGGACAGTAGTTAGTGGTCTGTGAACACATTACCCCTCCAGAACTCAGGTAGCACTAGATGTAGCGTTCTTCTTCTTCATAAGTCACTACACAATGTTCATTATTTGATATGCTGTTTTGCGTATTTACCAAAAATATATCGATCAAACGTTGTCTTCTTCTGACGTTGTCAAAAGTCCCTGTAACGGTTTTCAGAGGCAAGTTGAACTACCCTTGAGTATCATTATGTGGGCGTTTGGAGACGCTGATTTCTGATAGGGGAGCGACTGGAGGCTGACACGATAAATTGGTGAGTTAATATTAGTTTCCTCAGAATTTATTTCTGGGTTTACCACTATGAATGTCCGATTCTTTTGCTGCAATAGATCGTACTGGTTAGGGTTTACGACTAAGTTGGGGTTTATCAGGTTATCCCTCCAAATCGCAAAGCAAAGAGAGACATTGTTTCCAATTTGTGCCCTGCAGAGAGTTCAAGAAAATGGAGTTAAATAACACTTATTCTAGATTTCCAACTTTCTTCTTTCCTCTTTGTCCGCTACATTAACATGTAGTTGAAGAGGGAGAACGTAGTGTGGCATTATGTATGTTTGGTAATGCTCCAAAACCTTAACAACACCGTAACAACACATAACAAAACCATTAAAGGATGAGGGAAACTAGAATTTACTTCAAATATCGCGTGTTTAAGTCCTGTGAAAGGTGTAGAAATCAAAAAATTCGCCGACTGTGAAATCGATAATTCGGCAATAATCACCCGCGCTCCTATTGGCTGTTAGCAATGTTGGCTGTGACTCACTGAAGTGTTAAGCCAACGTGCGCGCGCACCTTGGGCTCTTTGTCAACATTTTGTTCGGTTACTGTTTAATTACTTACGTCGTGTTCTTTGGCGTGTGCGAGAGGGTATCTTTGGTTGCACTGAAATTAGTCTAATTATCGAATAATTCCTCTTTAATAATAATAGTTAATGTAATCAGAAAGGCTTCTTCGGTAGTTGTAGTAGGTATTTCGATTTATAAATAGCAAAGAAAGTAGCTTCCCTAACAAACCACAAACTGCCTGATTGTGTTTTGACGTGTTTGAAACCCGAGATGGACACTATTAAAAAGAATGTATGATTAGTAGAAGACATGTTACGACTGTCCCTTGGCGCCTCTAGTCCTATCTGAGTACGCACAGTGCCGGTTTGACACTGCGCGGACCGGCCTTTAGTTGTACACTCATTTAGAATTGTAAACCGGTTAGGTTGCTGGGATCTTTGAGTGTATAGCGGAACGAATGTTGGATGTGTGTCGTCGACATGCGTGGTAGAATATGCGTGGTGTTAGTTTGCAAATCTTGGCGTGTGACGTATAAGGTGAGTGTCAAATATGAGTTAGAACGTAAAAGCTTGTGCTTGTGCTTGTCCAACTGGAATGAAGACAGGCATTTCATACCGAACCCATTCCATTGTTATTAGGACCGGGTTGTGTGATATACTTGTGTGATATTATCAACGGGGGTACAAACAGGGAGTTGCTAGGTTTTCGTCGCGTATAGGAGCTTATAAAGATTACATAATTTGCATGCCTTCTGTGTGGACTCCCTTTTTTCAATCTTATTCCAGTGTATCTCGGCTCATGGTAATCGTAGGGTGAAATTCATTTTTAAACCGGGCATATACAGTCCCTCTCCATTGGGTTATAGGCTTCGGTAGTAATCGTAAAGTGTTAATTTATATCCTAGTAGTAATTGAGTAGGCCCCACGCTCATTTTAACCGGTATTCTATAATGCGCGGATCAGAGCAACTCACATAATGACGTCACAGGTGGCAAATTGTTTTGGCTGGATATCTCGGCGGCGCGAATGAAATACAACTTTGCGGATTTCACATAAGTGGTTTTATACGTTGAATAAGAATAATGATTTTGCACGAGAAAAAAACTTTGTTCTAAGACCCGTCATCTTTAACAACAACCTTAGCAACATTTTACAACACCTTAACCCAACCGAACAACACCTAAACATACTTAACAACACCTTAACAACACTTTAACAACATCTTAACAACACCTTTAACCACACAACAACCATTAACAACACCTTTGCAACAACTTAGCCACACCTTAACAAACTGTCACCGGAGCACTGAGTAGAACTGTAACTATCCACTTTTAAACGACCGACTCCAATAAAGACGATAATATAATACGA